TCAGAGCCCCACACGGAAACGGCTGAAAAGCAAAGGGAGTGACAAAGACTTTGTGATCATCCGCAGGCCTAAACTCAATCGAGAGAACTTCCCCGGTAAGAGATGAGGGGAAAACTGTCAGTTATATAGGGGGTAGATTGGGTTGTTTTGTTGGTAACCCTTCCCTGGGGGATCTTTTAAATTTTTCTTTCAGAATTACTTAATTAAAAGTTATTTTCCAATAAAGTGGGACCAGTGCTTATTAAAATCTATTGAAATCTTTCTAAGTCTCAATCTACTTGAAACTTTTAACCCATGAAAAGACTTTGCTGCCTTTTTCCTTAGAAGGGCATCTGCCTGCCCAAAGTCCAGCTCAGTACCACTGATAAATGGGAACATAAACAATGATCTTCTTTTAGGATCCCTTTTGTTTATAATTGCTGCTTTTTACTTCATTAAGCTTTCTGCCTTAATCACATTAGCTATTTGTCAATAGATTGCTAAAATGAATGTTATTCAAAGTGGTGGAAACTTCTCTCCCAGGTCCACGCCCAAATGGGCTTCTCCTGGATTGTTCATCTCCATTACTGTGGCATTATCCTTTCAGTCACCCAATACAGAAGATGAAACCTGATTTTTCTCCTTTCCCAATGTCTAACCAATCTTTGTAGCTTTCCCTCTTCTCTAGTAAATATTTCTCAAGCTCTCCTCATTTTGACTGAATTATTGTCATGGACTCATGGTTTCTAGCTTCTTTTCCCCAGGTCCATTCCCCAGAGTTGGAATGGATTGACCAAAAAAGAAATCACCGTATATTATTCTACTTATTGATTGATTGACTTTTGGTATCAGGGATTGAACCCAGGGGCACTTAATCACTGAGCCACATCACCGGCTGTATTGATTTTGAAAGAGGGCCTCACTAAGTTGCTGAAGCTGCCTTTGAACTTGTGATCCTCCTGTCTCAGCCTCTGGAGCAGCTAGGATTATAGGCATGTACCACCATACCCAGCCTATTTTTTATTTTAATGAGACAGGGTCTCGCTATGTTGCTTAGGGCCTCACTAAATTACTGAGCCTGGGCTTTGAATTTGTGATCCTCCAGCTTCAGCCTCCCCAGCTGCTTAATAGCTTACAGACTTTCACCCCTGTGCTCAGCTTATTCTCTTTTTAGTACCTCCTCATTTCCTGTTTTCTTAAGCAAGTGAATGAATGCCTCAAGGTGGACAGAACCCTGAACCCTGGAGTACTCAAAGCCATGGGGTAAACATAGAACATTGACTTGGGGGTAATGAATTTTGCTTGCTAAGAAATCATTTAAAACATTAATTCAGCAATATTTGTTAAGCACCTACTATGTGCTTAGCATTGTTCTCAGTGCTGAGGATATAACACTGAGCAAACATTCCTACCCTCGTGGAATATTCATTGTAGTGAGGGAACACAATAAACATAATAAATATGCTATTTCATGCAGTATTGTTAGAAAGTGATAAGTATGATGCCTAAAAACAGAAATTAGAGCAAGCCAGGAGGGAGTGGAAGTCCCGGGGTGGAAGGTAGATTGCAGTTTTAAATAGGAGACTGAGGGAAAGCCTCAGTTAGACAGTGGCCTTTAAGCAAAGGCATAAAGGAGGTGAGGGACTATGCCATGCAAATATCTTGGAGGAAAGAGCCCCAGGTAAAAGGAACAACTCTTGCAAGATCCTGGAGAAATGTATGACATGTTTGCCCAAGGAACAAGAAGGAAGCCTTATACCAACAGTGGGAAAGGAAAGCAGAGGGGGAGGAGAGGCTAGAGGTGGTGTTGAGCAGAGCTGTGATGCAACCCTGTTGAACCTTTTGAAAAAACTCTGGTTTGCTCAGACTAAATTGCCTGGGATGGAGGATAAAAGTCAAGATGTGTGGGGGAGGATCAGCAGTAATCAGATTCTGGATATATTCTGACATTAGAGACAGTAGAATCAGGAGGCTGTTGAATTATCTGTGGAAGAGGTGATTAGAGTCTAAACTGAAATTGGGTTAGTGATGATGGAGAAGACAGATTAAAGAAATAAGAGCCAAGGTAAATAAGTACATCTCTAAGTTCTCCTGTGTGGCTTTGTTTGCAGAAGAGTTGATGAGTTGATTGCTTGTTTGCTTTAAAAAAATCTGTTTCCTCAACCCTTTCTTTAGAAAAGAGAGCCTTGTCCAACTTATGGCATGAAAATCCATACCAAGAATTCGAGTAATTGGGAGAGACGGTAGAAGGTTGTGATGAGGTCAGGTAAATCTGAATTTGAATCCTTATTTTGCTGTTTACCCGCCTTGGAAAGCTGTTGGAACTCTCTGAGTTATAGTTTCAAGGCCTGTGAAATGGAATAATAATTCCCACTTCCTAGGTTGCTGTGAAGACTGAGGCTGCACATAAATAAAGCTCTTAGTATGCTGCTGACACATAATGCTCCATAAGTAAACCCAGTTACTATTAGTCACCAAAATTTCTGACACCTATTTGAGAGACTGTTTTTGGTTTTTAATCATTATACTGTTAGTCTGATCCTAGAAACATAGACTTTTTATCTTTAAAATTTAATGTCACGTGCTATTTTTAGTGTCTGCAATGTAGCACTAGCAATTTGGTGCTTAACTGACCAAACATGGTGAAAGATACTTTCTGCTAAGATGAACATATTTCGATCAACTTATCCAATGCAATTTGATTGCTGTATGTCATTCCACATTCATATATACAAATATAAATAAAAAGACATTTTTAAAATATAGTTGTAGATGGACATAATAACTTTATTTTATTTACTTATTTTTATGCGGTCCTGAGGATCAAACTCCAGTGTCTTAACATGTGCTAGGCAAGCACTCTACCACTGAGCTCTACCACGACTCCAACTCCTAAAAATATATTTAAGCAAGTCACTGAAACCGGACAGAAGTACAAAGGATGATGCTATCTCCTAGGAATTTCAAACAAGGAGAAAAGAAAATAAATAAAAGCAACTTATACATGGCAATATGTGGCTGTGGCTAACACCAGCTGCAGATGAGTAGCTCAAACAGTGAGGGTTCTGGAGAGCAAGAGAGAGGGAGCCCCTTATGCAAAAGTAACTTAATTTCCATTGGGTTGTTGTGGGCAGTCCTCTTTCCCCTCAGCAAAAATGGAGGTTCCAAGGAAAGAGAGGAGCTGAAAATTGATCAGGGAGTCTAGATTTTAAAATCGACTAAATAAATATATGTCTGAAGTGAAAGAGAACAAACTGACTTATGTTTGGTATCACCTGAGAGCAACAGGGGAGGCAACAGGACACATTTGTATGTACATGGACTTCCATGTGGATTGGTCAGTTGTGATGGATGGGTTGGGGGAGTGGGCCCAGTGATACAGAGTGAGGGACAGCTGGTGTAGAGGATTCCTCATGGCCTCTGGAAGCTTAGGCCTCCAGTGTAGCTGGATCCTCATTCCAGGGAGTTTTGTCTGCAGTTGTCAGGACAGGTGGCTAATAGCTCTGCCAGGATTAGGGTAGGAAAGGCCACACCTGCTGTGCATAGAGATCTGATGACTGGTCCAGAGTTTAAGTTTTTGTTAGTTTTTTGCTAAGCATTGTCTTTTTGCAGGCCCCATTCCAGCCTCACATCTGGCAATTAAATCCTCTTCATCTGTTTATTTTCAAAGATTAAAGTTATGTGGCCAGCTTGTGCCAGAACAGGTCTGGTTAGCCCTTGGGGCCCGTGTATGAAAAGAGTTATGGAGAAACAGCCCAGCAATGAGGCCAGTTATAAGTGAAAAGATGACAGTCTACATTTTATTTATGCTTATTAAATGCCTTTTCCTGGCCTTTAAGCAGGTGATGACCATGAAAATGTGGTTGAACTAATTTGTGGCTCAGCTCTTCCATGGCTGTTAGACTGCTCGAAATTCCAGACCCTCCAAAGGTTCTTAGTTTGGAGACTCTAAAGTTCAGAGTATATCAGAATCCTCAAGGGAACTGGTTCAAAGTGCAAAATTCCTAAGATTATGAATCAAGAAGTCCTTGAGCCTGGGAATCTGTGTTTCAATACCCCAGGGCAAATGGTCATCCCCAACTTTTTGTTTTTAACCAAGAAGAAGTATATTGCAGTCCTGGGTGTTTACATGAAATGAGAGTTTCACAAAACTATATACCTCCTTACCAAGATATTTTCTATTCTGTTCTATTCCATTCTTTAATGAAAGAAAATACTAGTTAAACTTACTAAGTTGATTTCACTACCTATCAATGAGTCTCAGTCAACAGTTCCCAAATTGTAGTTACATAGGAGACTTTTTATGGAACCCTTCAAGTCATCTTGCTTTGTTTTCTGTTTTCCATTCATTCAGCAAATATTTATCGAGCATCACTATAGAAATTGGGAATAAAGACATGTACATAAATAAAAGATCCTGCTCTCAGAGCTTCTATTTTGTACCTGAGTCCCCAAATCTTAGTTTCTACTGTTTCTTTGTAACTCCTTGCATCCCCCAGGATTGAGCAAGCTTTTCATAGAAATAAAGGGTTGTGGGCCAAGGCGTGCACTGGGGACCCCTGTTATAGTTTTTCAGTTTTGCTTTTTGGCCCATCTAGCCAAAAAATAAGAACACCAAAAATGTCAAAAGCTAGCACAATTTCATTTTCTCTTCATTGTTTGTGGGAAGAGGAAGGAGAGCTTATCCAGGATGGCAAAATCTGTGTGTAGTTCCCTAGAATGGAAGCATCGGGTGTTGCTACTTAAAACAAGGCAGAAAAGCAATCATTAAGTGAACCCCCCCTCCCTTTAAAAAACACAGTAGCCATGAGCATCAGGATGCATGCTTCTCTTGCAAGTATAATTTGTTTATTGATGCCTTCAAGAGAGAAGCAACTTTTTTTTTTTTTAAGTTGAAATTTGGGAGATGGTTAAGATTACTTTGAATTTTCTGTTTGAATCTGAGTGTAGGAGACATTCTGAGAAAAATACAGTTCAAGTAAGAGATGTTAACTGTATTGCACAGATCAAATGCATAGAAAACTCTCCTATAGGACTGGGGATATAGCTCAGTTGATAGAGTGCTTGCTTTACATGCATAAGGCCCTGGGTTCAATCCCCAGCACCACCAAAAAAAGGAAGGAAAACTCCTGTAAGTCCCTCCCTCTTTCCAGAGGAGACATGGAAGATGATGGGTTACAGAGGTATGGGAAGCTGGGTCTGTGCCTGAGGAGAATTTCGAAAGTGGTGGGTGAGGGTGATCAGCAAGCTTTCTGCTCTGGCCAGTTTTTGCCCTGGTCTGGCTGGGAAGCATGTTTTGCTGTTGTCCATGTCTTTTAAGATTGGAATCTTTATCATTGTGTACAGCTTTAATCAGTATGTAGCTTCAGTGGGTTAAGCAGAAGCGAGTGGAGAAGAGACCTAGATTTTCCCTTCCTCTCTCAGCAAACAGACCAGGCCGAGATGTAGTCAAGAATCCAGGAAACAGATGGCTGATGTTTTGAGAATTAAATATGGGAAGTAAAATTAGATTAAGCATATCACATCCTGGATGCCAGCCATTAGAGCAGCTACTGAAGACAAACTTCTGCCTGTCTGCTCAGACAGCAGCCAGTTCCAGGCTGTTGCACCCCAACACAGGGGCCCTGTGAATTATGCTCTGTGGTCAGCTGAGTGAAGCCCTGAATGCTTGGCTTTTAGCTCAGACTCTATGTCCTGAGCTGTTGCTTCTTCCATTCGGTGGCAAACCCTTTGGAATTCTCAGCATCTTCGCGTTTTGCTCCCTCTCCCTCCACTGATCTCTTGCTAGCCCTGATTGATTTCTTTTTCCATAGCAAGTCATAATTTAATTCTCACCTTTGCTAAACTTTTAGAATAAATCAAGTACTGTTCACAATAGGAAAACATAAACTCTTAAGAGTATGAAGGAGGTAGAAAGGGTTCATGTTTCAAAGTCAGACCTGGGTTTGAATTCCCACTCTGCCATGCACTAGTTGGGTGATCATGTCCCTTTTGTCATAGCTTCATCTTCTCTTGAAGCCCCTCCCCCTCTCTTCCAAAGACTACTGGTAGAGGACAGTCGTTCTCTGCAGTTTGTCTTCAGCCTCATCCCCTCCATATGCGAAGGGTGCCATGCTATCCCTTCGCAGATACTATACCTCCACCTTCAGGGCCTCTGCCACCTGGCAGGTCATCAGGCTTCCCACTTCTTGTGACTGCACCTCACAGTGAGGTAGGGTAGTTTGGAAACCCAAGTTTCTTGCCTCTGCCCCCTAAGAGTTGATGTTACCTTGGTGAAGTTATTTAACCCCACTAAGATAAATTTCCCCACAGATGATAATACACAGGTTGCCCCAAAGATTGCATCACAGTTCTTCCATAAATGCCTGAGACTTTTTAGGGCTTCCAGTAGGTGGCAGTTTTAATTGTTAGGTTGTGTATTTGTTTATTAGTTCATTTCCTAATGAGGCCACTGGGCAGGAGCTGTGATTCCTAACTAGCTCCTAGCACTGGAGTCACAGGTCAACCTTATCATTTTAAAAATGAGGAAACTGGTCTTAACAGGCTTATATTTAAATTAAAGCCAGCATTCTTTGGAGTATGGATCATTCCTTTGTGAAATACCAGTTAGGCAGTTTCTAATATTCAGTGTTGGGCTGTAGGCACTGGGCATGTATTTATTGGTTAATGAAGATTAACCAGTCACATTAAGAAAATTAACACATTTATAGCTTGGATGAATATTGAGAGCCACAGCCTGGTGCCTGGCATATTACCAGAAGGAGTGGTTGAGAGGTGATGCCAGCTAGCCATTAAGATGTTGATAATTAAGTTAAGATGTGTATAATTGCTGTGACTGGATGATGCTGGATTGAAACAGGCTGTCTATTCAGTTGTATATGGACCCCTGCTGTCCGGCAATATGGCGGCTCCTGCTGCCTTGGGCGCCCATTGAGGAGTTCCCAGTTGAGCTCTCTCTCGGGACTCCTGGAGAGTTCGCATTGGTTGGTGAGGTTCTGGTGGAGGGAGTTCCAGTTGGTGTGTGGTGTTCCTGGAAGGGCCCTGTGGGTGGCGGTTTGCAGGAGTTTGGGCAATAAAGGAGTTGCTGTTTGAACCTACAAGTGCTTCGTGGCGGTGGCTGCTCGGTTGTTTTGTGCCCAGCCAGACTGCGGCAGATGAAAGGGGAATAAAAGGTATATTGTATTTCATAAATACTTATCAAGTGCCATTTATGTGTTGGGCATTGTGTTAGGTGCTGAATGTGGAAGCCTGGGCGTAGGGCTTTGTTGGTGACCTGGGAATGCTTCTCTGAGCAAGTGCTGTTTGAGCTGAAGTCTGGAGGAGGAGGAGGAGGAGGAGGAGGAGCAGCCAGGCAGTTGGAGACAGAGGTTGCAGCACAAAGCCTCCTAACTCCAGATTGTTCTCTTGTATGCTCGGCTCCATTGCCTGGGTGTGCTAGCTCTACCTTCATCTTTATGGCTCCATTTTCTTCCTAGCAGTTTTAATTAACTGTTTCCTATTGCTCTTCTGTTTTTTCCTGATTTCTTATATCTTTCCAATAAAATTAAAAGCACCAAACTTGTATTTTATTTTTTATTTTGTATTTTTTATCTTACCTGCCTTGCATTTCTCAGCAAGCTTTCTTAATTTCCTTTCCCACCCATCTTCCGTGGACACTCTTGGCGCCCTGTCCACAGCCCCCATGAAGCTCACCATTCCTGTAATGCCAGAGGCTTTCTGGCATTGTGACTCTGTGCTTGAGGGCTTTCTCTGGACCGGAATGCTAGGGAGTTAACAGCAGAGAGACTGATAGCCCTTATGAACTCACCAGCATCCATGCCCTTGGGCAGGACAGCTATGGGGCAATTCCAGATAGTCTCATAGAGTCCCTAGAAGATTTGAATCCCAGCTGCCCATAACAGTAACTTACTTATTGACATGCCTTGAGTAAGCTTCCTTCTCTTCCATGTCTCTCTTCATTTTTTTTTTCTTTTCTTCCTTCCATTGCTTCCCAAACAAACGACTGGAAGTCATGTTCTCAGGGTCTGTCCCCGGGAATCTCAAACTTAGGAGGCAGATATGAGATTTTGGTGAATCACACTGTGCAGCTCTTGTCAACTCTCTTCAGATCTTGTATTTTCGCCTGTTGGTAAAAAACTAAAGCTCGCATTGAAAAGAAGACATTGTCATAAAAGGAAAACATGCAGATTTAATGAGGGAAAGAGAGGAATAGAGGTGAGAATGATTGACTAGCTCTCTGCTGCATCATTTTATCCTTGCTCTTACATCATTTTATCTTCATGGTTTTGCAAGATAAATCTATTTATTCTCATTCCTGTAGATGGAACATCGAGGCCCAGAGAGATTAAGTAACTTACCTAAATTCACAGTAGTCAGGGCAATCTAGCTGGGACTCCAGTCAAAGTTGGGCTTCTCACTCAGTACAATAATTCTCAAACTCCCGGAGGCTACTCACTTGGATCATCTTTGTAGATCATAGTAAAAGCCTGAACATGTTAGCAACTGTATAATTTTTTATCAGATCAAATACAAAAATATGCCCTATATATGCAGGAGGAAGCAAAGAATGAAGAACTAAGGAAGGAAAACTTGAAAGAAGTGTCTTTCAACATTTTTTGGATTTGAGGAGCAGGCAGGAACTTGATTTAAGAACCTCTGTCCTCTGCCTGCATTGACTCTGGAGGAATGCTATGGTAGAAAGGTTGTCACACTGAGGACCCTCAGTATAACCTCCAGCTGTCTCCCCAGGTTGAGGGCCACGGTCAGCATGGGTGATTTGCCTTTATCCCACTACCCTTAGTTTTCCTTGTTACCTACTGAGAAGGACAGGCATTGATAGAGCCTGCACCTGTATCCTGCCACCATCTCCAGAAAGGCTTCCCTGCCGCCGCTGCACTCCCATGTACTGCAGAACACCCTGGGCCCTGTTGTAGGTTATCACCGTACTTCACTGAAATTCCTTATTATCCCTCTCAAAACTCTGGGCAAATGCAGATTAGGACTATGCTGTGTTTATCTTTGTATCCCTAGAACAGACCTTTGCATGTAGTACATGTTCAGTAAATGTATGAATGGATGGACAGATCAGACTTTGTGCTTATTTCTGGAAATATAAAGAATGTTAAAAAGCAGAGTGGGGGGTCGTTGGCAAAACTTGTGGACTGGGGGGGGGGCTAGAGAAATGAGGAAGTAAATAAATAAATCATGGTAGATAAGACCTGTTCTTGAGGATGTCTTGCGAGGCCTTCAAAGCATAGCAGTTGGGCCTTACATAGCAATTTGATTTTGAAATGAATAGCAGCCTGGGGAGCAAGGATGCTTGTCTTAGTGACCCAGAACATCATGATACCTTGATGGGCTAGGGCCTCATTCTGTGCCACCATTTACGTCCCTGTCCATGGCTAGCCGACTGGCAACGAAGGGGAAAAGGACAGGACCAGTAGTCTTGGTTCTTTCTCATACTGCTGAGAAAGTGAGGTGCTTGGATTGGACAGAAAAGCAAAGGTGAGGCTGAAGAATTCAGTTAGTGTTAAATCCCCCTTTTAAGCTAACCATTGTGAACCCTTAGCATGCTTAGCAAGACTCAGTTCACTTGGCAGGGAAGAAGAATGGTGATAAGGAAACTTTTTATTTTTGTTTTTGTTTTTTGTTTTTTTTTTGTCTTACAGGTGTTTCGTGGGACTCCCTCCCAGATGAGCTGCTCCTGGGGATCTTCTCTTGCCTCTGCCTCCCCGATCTGCTGAAAGTCTCCGGCGTTTGTAAGAGGTGGTACTGCCTCGCGTAAGTATTCTGCATCCCTTTGGCACAGATGAGGGAGGAAGGGAAAGAGATGAATTCACTGGAGTCTGGTGAAACTAAAAGCCAAGAAAGGTACAGAAGCCCGAGCAGACTGTCTTAGTTTTAATAATAGTGTCTTCATTTCACAGTGGAAGAGAGGAGTTTCCTGGAGGTGTAAACTTTCCTCTTTTCTGACAACTTCTTGGCCTGGTATTCAGTTTGGCACCTGTTTACCAGGTGTGGTGTCTGGGCCAAGCAGTGGGCTAAGAGCAGAGAGAGTTCTGGAAAGCCATAAAGACAGTGTGCCTCACTCCAGAGGCCAGGTATGAGCACAGATCCCCATGTGAGCCTCGCCTCTGCCTCTTACACTCTGCACGACTTGAGTGAGGTACTTGATGCTAACAAGCCTCGGCCTCCCCGTCCCTTGTGTAAGCTTGCAGTGATGCTTCCCTCGGTGTAGTGTGGCTGTGAGGATAAACTGTACTGCTGGTGCAGTGCCTGCCTCCCGGGCATGTTGAGTACCACCCCAGGTGTTTTTTGGTAACAATTTTTAGGTGTAGATGGTGGGCTGGGAAGAGAGTAACAGGCCTGAAGCAAGAAAAAGACTGAGGTTTTTGTTGTTGTTTATTTTTCCAGTGCTGGGGATGGAACCCAGGGCATCCTGCGTGCTAGGCGCACCCTGCCACTGACCTGCATTCCCAGTCCTGAGGCTGCTTTTTAATTGAAACTTTTTTTTTTTTTTTTAACCAGTTCCACCCTTCCCCATCTCTGCTTTTGTGTTTGGAGACCATCTATCTGGTTTCTCTCTCCATGTATTCAGAACTCCCTTCGTGAGACAGCAGGAGGCCTTTCAGGGTGTCTGGAAACAAGACAGCATAGGCATTGGCAGGAGCAGGCTATATGCTTAGAAGGTGAAAGAATTTGCATGCCTGTAGTGCTGGCACGGTGGCTGAGCTTTACTTATCCCCACCCAGGAAACCCCACTTTGGTTTTCCTTTCCCACCAACAGTGCGTTTGTCCACTCCATGCAGCATCTCAGCTTTTAAAAAAAAAAATTGTGTTGTACATATTTAAGGTATGCAACATGATGGTTTAATATACAAATAGTGAAATAGTTCTGTGCTTGAGGAAATAAATAAATCCATCATGTTACAGTTCCGTTTTCTCTCTTTTGTAGCAAAAAAACTTAAAATATACTTTCTTAGCAAAAATCCCAAATGCGCTACAATATTACTAGCAGTCCTCATGTAGTATCTTAGATCTTGAGACTTACTTAGCCTACATATCTGTTGCTTTGTATCTTCGACCTCTATCTCCCCCTCTTGAAGTCCATTGCTCTTCATTTCAATTGTCAGAAATGTAAATCAATGATATTTATTAAGCACTTACTATGTGCCAGGGGCTGTGTTATCAGTTTAATCTTCCATATAGTCTTAAGTGACAATATCCATACTATTTCAGTTTTAGGAACAGTAGGTTGAGAGGTAAGTGGGAAAACAAGAATCTAAGGTCCAGCTGACTACACAGCTGTAACCCTAACTAGTTATATTTGGCTTGGGGTTCAGACAGCTCTTGAATTCATCTTCCTGTCTATGCTTAAGATGGATGTTATTCAGGAACAATGTGAATGTTCCAGAAATTTCCCCAGGTTGTTACAGAATGCTTAGTAAGCTGTTTTTGCCTCCGTGCAAATAGAAATGTCAGGCATGAGATCTGAGATAACCAGTGGGTAATCCAGTGTCATTTTCTTGGAAGTAGATTTTTGTCTGGGCAAGAGAAAGATTCAAAGCATTCCAGTCTCTTATGGATATCTTATCTACAGTCTGCCCTTTTCTAATAATAGGGGTCAAATCACACACTGATAATTTCTATATACCAAAAGTTTCAAAACCCTGGCCGGTGGGCCACTTATTTCAAGTACTATTAAAAAAAAAGAAAATTCTACTGCACCTAAGAATTGAGAATATCCCCTCATGTGCTTATATTTCACATTTTATTTCATTTGCTTGAATTCATCTGTGGATACATTTTTGAAACCTCCCTTTTATTTTAGAAACACTGTAACCTAATATTTTCCCTTTTTCTTTCACAGTAGTACACACATGTACATACATACACATATGGGTGCATGTGATTGATTTCAGTGTAAGATACTGTAAAGCAGAGCTGAACTATGACTGCTTTTTCCTAGACAATATCTATGATAGCTGTATCTCATAATAAAATAGTGATAAAATAGAATAATTTTGTTTTTTAAGTTCTATTTGCATGTTACTTTTGGAAATTGTGGTGATCTCTTCACAAATTTGTTGTTGTTGTTTTTCAGTACTAGAGATTAAATCCAAGGCACTCTACCACTGAGCTATAAGCTATGTCCCTAGGCCTTTTTATTTTTTATTTTAAGAGAGGGTCTCCCTCACTTACAAAAGATGACCTTGAATTTGCAATCCTCCTTTCTCAGCATCCTGAGTACTGGGATAGTAGGTATGCCCCACCAAGCCCGGTCTGTTCATGCTTAATGACAATGGCAAGAGGTGTCATTTAAGAAACTTTGAAACTGCTCATCTAGTAAATAATCAAGTGATTTGAATAATCAGTTTTGGAGGTGGGGGCAGGACTGGGGATTGAACTCAGGGGCACTTGACCCCTGAGCCACATCCCCAGCCCTATTTTGTATTTATTTAGAGACAGGGTCTGAGTTGCTTAGCATTTCGCTTTTGCTGAGGCTGGTTTTAAACTTGAGATCCTCCTGCCTCAAGCCTCCCAAGCCCATGGGATTACAGTCATGCGCCACCACATCCATCTTGAATAATCAGTTTTAAAGTTGTCATATTGAATTGAAAACTAGATTTTTAAAATAATATTCAGCTTTTTAAAAATTTTTTTGTTATTGTTGTAGATGGACACAATACCTTTATTTATTTATATGTGGTACTGAGGATTGAACCTTGTGCCTCACACATGCAAGGCAAGCGCTGTACCACTGAGCCACAACCCCAGCCCCTGAAAACTAGAATTTTATTCTCTGCTTCTAGATCATTGAAAGTGCTAATTTTAGCGTCGAATCACTTAAATTAGAAATATATAAAAAGTAAAATGTGTAAGTTTATTCATATTATGATCAAGAAATATTTAGTAGTGTCTTTAAAATATCTTAGCTATTTGCATAGTCATCTTTAAAGTAAAATTTCCTTCAAGGGGATTTAGCAGCTGTGTCTTACTGGTTAGTAATATCTTTGAGGGCCTCCAGCATTACCTGTGACTACTTACCAAGTCAAGCACCTCCTCTTTTCTAGGTTTGATGAATCTCTCTGGCAAACCCTGGACCTCACAGGTAAAAATCTGCACCCAGATGTGATTGTTCGTCTGCTGTCTCGAGGCGTGGTGGCCTTCCGCTGCCCCCGATCATTTGTGGACCAACCCTTGGTTGAACATTGCAGGTAAAAAAGTAAACTCCCTAAAAAAGGCTCTTTTCTAAACCTTGAGGGGAACACAGAGTTCTTTATCCAGCCTTACAGCCTATGACAGATCCTCTTTGCAGTGTGGGACATTAGGTACACGTCACGCCCTGTGGCCTTCGGGTTGCCGTATGGCACAGGTTTCAGTGACGTCACTCCGATTTTAACTCGGGGTTTCTACTGTACTCTTCCTGGGGTTAAAGGTGTTCATTGAGGGGCTGGGGATGTAGCTCAGTGGTAGAGCACTAGCCTAGATTTATGAGGCGACAAACAGCCTCCGTCTTTGCCCACTGCCCATTTCTGACAAACAGAAACTCACAAGTGGTGTTTTCAGATTTGTAGCGTGTGCTCTCAGTCCTGTTGTGGACAAACTTGGGCAGATTTACAATGGGGGGGGGGGGGCATCCCTCTTTGTTTTTGGTTTCTTTTTTTGTTGTTTGTTTGTTTGTTTGGTAGACTATTTTGAAAAACTATTTCTCTGGCACTGCTAATTATGCAGCATTAAGGGTTGGTGCTGTCTCACACTTGAGTAGAATAACTAGACACTGAAGAAGAGAAAGAAGCCGGCCACAGCAGAGCTAATGTGTCTCCCCACTCTAGGACTTTTCCCTTCTTTCCATCATTGAATCATGTCCCGGCTTCTTTCTCCCCGACTCATGCCTTTTCTTAGTCTTCTTTACATGTGTGATTCCTTTTGTTCCCTCCAGAATTCATTCCTGGCTGCTTTTCTTCTCGTCTACGTGGCTGTTCTCAGACATGTTTATGTTCAGGACTCTCACATCCTTATCTGTAGCTCAGCCTTCTCTTTTAAGCTCCCTATTTCTAATTAACTAAAGACTTCCAAACCTGAATTTCTTCCAAGTACCTCAATGTTAGCATGTCTAAAATTAAACTTGGCCTCCTCTTCTGTCTTCCCTGTTCTAGTGCATAACCACTGCCACGTACCCACTCACCCTCGCCAGAACCAGGATCATCGTAGGAACTGACTGGGACAGTATTGGCAGCAGTGTCTGCACTTGGCAAAGATCCTTTTGAATTTACAAAAAAAAAAAAAAAAGAGTAGGCAACAACAAGTAGCAATTTGTTTTATGACCAGAACTATATTCAATACATGAAATGTATATTTAGGGTTTTATTTGTGATGGATTGCTCATTTGGGGAAAAGAAAGGACCTGATAGGACCTGAGTGCACTTGTGGCAGCCACCTCACGGAGAACTCCTTTTTGTCCTCTTTATTCAGCCCTTTTCGTGTCCAGCACTTGGATCTGTCTAACTCAGTTATAAACGTATCTACCCTCCATGGCATTCTGTCTCAGTGCTCCAAGTTGCAGAATCTAAGCCTGGAAGGCCTCCAGCTTTCTGATCCCATTGTCAAGTGAGTAGCAACCAAAACATGTGACAAAGGCATTTTCTTGTATTTATTAACTGTGTACCCTCTCTGTAACTAGGGGCCCCTTCCATCCGTGTCCAGATGGACACACAAAATATCTCATGCAGTGCTCCAACTTCTGTAGAACTTTCCAGAACTTCATGCAGGATCCATGCCTCATTCGTGGGTGAGATGGATAATTACAGTGCATCATGTTTGTTAAATGGATTGGTGACTATGAGGCATTGAGAGAGGCCAGTTAAATTTGGGGAAGACAGCCTTCTCAGAGGAAGTGACTTGTGAGTCGGGTATTGAAGACATTCACATAGAACTCCAAGTGTTGGACAAAGGATGCAGCTGAGGTAGAGCTGCTGGTGCCATGTACTAAGTGAGCTCTTTAAGTGTGTGCTCATTCCATTCTGAGAGGACCCCACGAAATATGTTCTTATTGTTTCCTTCTTATGGCTGTGGAAACTGAGGCACACAGAGGCTGAATAATTGTCCAAGGTCACACTGTTAGTGGGTGATGAATCAAGATTTGAACCTGTCATTAAGACATGATTTCAGAATAATGGCTCTTAATCACTAAGTTGCCCTCAACAGGGTATTTAGGAATGTAGTAGAGGAGAGGGCAAATTTAAGTGATGTAATATTGCAAGAACCTTGTGACTTTTTACATGTGGAAATTTGCTTACAAATGGAATTAATGTTCATCCCATTGCTTGCTTTCTTTTTTTTTTTTTTTTTTTTTTTAATTTGAAAAGTACATTGATCAGTGTTTCTGGTGCATTTACTCTGTATCAGATACTGTGCCAAGTCCTTTATTTCATTGTATCATTTAATCTTCCTAATATCCCCACAAAGAAGATACTGCTATGGCCATTGCCCAGGTGAATAAAATGAGGCAATGAACCCTGCTGAGTGTCCCAGAGATAGTGAAAAGTGAATTTTAAACTCAATCTCATTCAAAGGCCTGTGCACTTAGGACACTAACTTGCTTTCCTCCAAGTTCCTATTGATTGAACAAGAGTGCCTCATCGGTATTCCTTTGGCATTTTTCTCTTTTTCTAGTAATCTTGCGCAGAACTCAAATTTAGTACGACTCAACCTTTGTGGGTGTGCTGGATTTTCTGAGTCTGCCCTGAAGACTCTGCTAAGCAGCTGTTCCAGGTAGGAAAGATTTGAGCCTTGATTATAGAGCTCTTGAATCAGGTGCAGTTACCCTCACATCTGAGCAGAGCTGGGTGAACTTTCTGAGCTATTCTTAACTCTCCTCGTTCTTGACAAAGCACAGTATCTTTTGCTTTGCAAAACTTTCCTGCTAAATTCTAGAATCAAATCAATTCCATTTTTATGGGAGAGATGCTTGTATAGTGATTTCTTTTTTTCTGTTTTTTTGTTACTATGAAAGCAGGGGGAATGTGGTGTATTTATCACAGTGTAGGTGAAAGAAATCTGTTTACACTTGACTATGTAGTCAAGTTTTTTTCCCTTATAATATCTATAGACCTAACTTGCAGGTTTGATCAAAAATGGTACATTTTAAGTATAAACCATAATAGATGTGGGTGATTCCATTAACATCTTTTATAATGTCAGTGATAAAAGGTACAGAGTTAGAGATATTTCTAAGCGAGGGGATACATGGTTTATAGAATACACAGTACTGTGTGTGTGTGTGTAGTATGTTATTTTTGTTTTAAACTATTCTTTTGTCTCTGGTATATAGCATTTGTACCTGTGTCTTATTAGTGATCTGCTAAAAGTCAATTGCCTTTGGATAAGAATGTCATCAATGAGATAAGATATAGATGTATAGTGCTACTCTAGTGATTTTGGGAAGTGGAAGGTGTGACTTAGTGGATAATTGTCTTTGAAAACCTCATTGATTCAGTTAACAGAGGCACACAAAGCGGCATTTTACAATCCTTACTACCATCTACCAGTTTTGTAAAATGTTTTCAGTGATTGCTCAGTCTGTCTGGTTGTTCGCCCACCACCTAGATGGTTTGAGAATGAAAACACATAGGCTGGCATTTCCACTTAGAGTCCTGAGATGAGGATTGAGTCTGCAGGAGAGGAGGGGGCTCCCCTTTATTTCCAGAAGAGAGAAACACTAGGATCTTTGCTTGGATCCCCTGAGCAACTTTCAGGAGCAAATGGGGTAGGGAAATGTCAAAGGGGAGAAGGCAGTTTCAGATGAGCAAAGGTAGATGCTGAGAACAGTGGGTGTTCTGTGCATAAAACTGTACGGAATCTCTGGTTTTATATTTTCTTTATTTACAGCTTGAGGCAAATTCATTCCTGTGTGATATGTTCACGTTATCCTTATTACCTTCCTTTTGTGCAGACTGGATGAGCTGAACCTCTCCTGGTGCTATGAGTTCACTGAAAAGCACGTGCAGGTGGCTGTCGCACATGTGTCAGAGACCATCACCCAGTTGAATCTTAGTGGCTACCGAAAGAATCTTCAGAAATCAGGTTTGAACTTCCGGGCCTTGGCAACTGAGGCTTTAATAGTACAAATAAATATGATATATTAAACAGCTCCTAAGTTATCTCAAAGTTGGCCCAGTGCCTGTGTTGTTTCCTTTTCCAGGGGAGAAACTGCTGATCAGGAAGGGTTAGGTAAAGGTAAATAGCTAGCGAATTAGAGGACAAGGTTACAAGTGGAAAGGGTTTTTTTTTCAATAGCTTCACATTGCAGTCTCAGTCTGGGCTGCATAAAACCTAGTTAATCCAGTGACACACATCCACTATGTCTTGATGTTGGTAACTAGCTCATTTGAGTGTAGGAATTTAATATATGGAATACTTGTTTGTAGTGTGCCTTTTTTCTCTCCAAATAGCTCCATTTTCAGTGACTGTACATCAGCAACAGCCTGTGTGATACACCATCAACTGAATATGGAATAATTTATATTAAACAATAATAATTTATGCAGCTGATATTCTAATGGACATTTAGAATCTTTTTGACTTTCTCACTTCTAGAAATAACTTTGGGATGGACAGAGACAAATCTTCAGGCACATTTCCAAGAATGTGGAAAGCTTTGGCTAGTTCTTTCCAGACCACCTTCCAAGGAGTTTAAAATACCACCAGTGTGCATCCTCCCCCTTGAATACCACCACACTTGGTTCTTCCCTGCTCATGCTCAGGAGAAGAGTTGGCAGTGCTCTAGGTACTGTCCTTTCCTGCACCAGAGTCTCACCATACATTAATGAGGTAGTGGGAGATTCTGACATCTTCTGACATCGAACTTGTTGTAGGCTTGAAAAACTGCCATAAAGCAACTGCTCTTAATTTTGCCTGAGTATAGATTAAACTCTTCTTTTTGTTCTTCCAGAAAAGGTGAAGATAAGTTGTTTCCCAAGTTTCAATTAAGAATTATAGATAATAATATCCAGCTTACTAGATACATTCAGCTCAAGGACAAAGAGAGTATAAATTAAAAGTGATAGTTTTCTTAAATACACCATGGAAATAAAAATTTTAATTAATGCCATTAGTGTAGGACACAATATTGTGTTATATATAAGATAATATGGATTTGGTTTTAGCTCACAAACTGGTGCCTGGATGCCTGGTTCCAAATACCCATTCTGCCATTTACTGGAGAGCCATGAGCAATTTCCTTATTTTCTGTTCCTGTTTCCTCATCAGCAAAATGGATATAATAATAGGACCTACCTCTTAGAGTTATAATAAAGAATAAATGAGTTGATGTACGTGCAGCACATTGAATAGTTCTTGGCAAGTGGTGAGAGTTACTGTTGGCTGTTATTTCAGCATCACCAGACAGTATCACTTCCCTCCCTGTGGGGCAGGCAGTTAATGAGATAAGCGCAATGTGATCTTGGAGGACCTAGCTTTTCATCTTGCATTTGACCTTGACTCCTAGCAGAAATCACCTCTGCTCTGAAGTGACAGGTTGGATTGCCTGGTTTTTAAGATCCCTTCTAGCTTTAGTAGATCTGTTTGTGGCCAAGTGAAGGGAACAGTGAAAAGGGAATCTTGTCAGTGACTACTGTTTTCTAACACTTCTCACCCAGGGAAGAGAAGGCTTAAATTAGGAATGGAAAGGGAGACTAATTTTATCCCTTCTCTGTTTGGTTTTTTCCTCTGGTGGTATCAAAGATTTTATAATTTTACTGATGGCTAGTTGGCCAACTAGACAGTTGGTCACCCAAAACTGTATTATGCACTTTCTTCATTTTGCGGTCATTCATTGAATAAATGTTGATGGAGCACCAGGTTACATGTAGCTGTGTTCCAGAGTTACATAACGATGTGGCCCTGAACAAAATGAAGACAGTCACACTGATTCGGCTTTCATTCTATGTGGGAGCCAGACAGTGAACAAAACTCCCAAATGTTGTGAAAGATAAAGCGGATGAGCAGGTGGAATGTGGATAGAGAAGACTACTCTCAGGTGGACTGGTGAAACAGAGGCCCTCTCTGAGGAGGTGATGCTTGTGCAGAGCCCTGGTTGAGTGAAGGAGAAATCCATGTGGATTTGTGAGATAACATTCTGGAACAAAGGACCAGCAGATGCAAAAGCTTGATATGGCAACCAGTATGTGAGAAGGAGCAAGGGAGAACAGGCAGCCAAGGGCTCTCTAAGCCAAAGAAAAAGTTTTGGGTTTTTTTCTGAGCCATTGGAATATTCTGAGTCAAACAGTGTTATGAACTGAATTGCCTGCCGTGTGTGTGTGTGTGTGTGTGTGTGTGTGTGTGTGTGTGTGTGTGTATGAGTAGGGTATGAACTCAGGGGAGCTTTATCCCAGCCCTGTTTTGAGATGAGGTCTTACTAAACTGCTGAGGCTGGCCTCAAGCTTGAAGTCCTCTTGCTTCAGCCTCCTGAGTCACCGGGATTATAGGCATGCACCACCAACAAGCCTGGTTCTGACTTGCCTTTTTTAAAAAGGGCTTACTCTAGTGCCAGGGGGGAAAGTGTGAAGCTGGGAGGAAAGTTAGGAGACTAGGGTGATGACATTCATGGTACTAAGAAATGATCAGATTTGGGGTGCATTTTGAAATCCAGCATAGCAAGATTTGGAGACAGATTGGGTGTGGGCAGTGAGAAAAACAGTCAAATGTGGTTCCTAGAGTTTGGGCCTAAGCAACTGGATCCATGAAGTTATCACTTTCTGAGATGAGAAGAACTTTAGGGAAGGAACAGATTTAGGGGACATACTGAGTATTTGCTTTTAGATGTAAGTTGGATGCCATCATATACCTGAAATGGATAAGTTGAGAAGGCGGTTGGAAATGAAAGTCTAGACGTTAGAGAAGATGATGTGGCCAAAAATATAGCTGTGAGAAGAAAAAAAATTCTCAATGATAGAGAAGTTTTGTTGTTGTTTTGCATAAATCACATTTATTGATTCATATTGTTGAGCTTGTGTGACTTTTTCTAAATTCTGAAACGTTATCTGTACAATCCCAACCCCCTTACTAGTTAACATTTTGGAATATTTCTTTCTGGGTTTTTTCTTTCCTGTCTTTCTTTCTGTGAGTTTGTATATGTAAGTGGGTTTGTGTGTGTGCACGTATGACTAAATAAGAGTTTACACTGTATTGTAGAAGTTTTGTTTTCAGTGTATCTCCTAATGTTTTTTCATGTCACAGAAAAAAATATTTTTAATAAATAATGATTAGTATTATATTTTATTAAATAGACAAAGGTTAACAAACTAACCTACTTGAAGGAGGGATATTTGTTTGTAACTATTACTACAGTCAGTATGTTCTTGCATATCTGCATTTTTCTAAGTGAAACAAGTAGACCAAAAGGTAAAATGATGTATATTGCTTTGAATACGCTTTAAAATATCAGTTCAGCATCCAAAAAGAAAGAAAAGAAAGAGAAAAAGAAAAGAAATCACTTTCAGCCTCTGGAAAGGCTGCTTATAAAATCAAATATCCATTTCTGGTGGACTGTTTCATCAATTATTTCATCAGGTCTGGGTGCTTAGAATAGAATTTTTTTCACTTGATGGCTGAAAAATGGTATTTTTTATTTTATTTAGTATTTGTTACTTTATTTTCTTTTTGACTGCTATCAGTTCATGTTTTGGTATTTTTTCATATATGTATATGTGTGTGTATGCACATATATATATTTCTCTTATGTGTACAGTAAGACTACTAACTCTGTTTAACTTGTGTTGAAAACATTTATTCCCAGTTTTCTGATATTTCCGTAAATTTTTTTATTCCAACGTGGTAGATTTTCCCCTTCAGTATGGAGATCAAATCCAGGATCTTAGCCATGAAAGCACTCTACCACTGAGCACCACATCCCCAGCCCTTGCATGGTAGAATTTTTAAAAATATATGTAGTGTATTATAAGTGTTTCCTATATGTCTTTATATATCCCAAGATTCAATAAATAATTGCCTATATTAAATGTGGAATTTGTTGGGATATGTCATTTTATTTATTTATTTATTTATTTTGTGGTGTTGAGGATTGAACCCAGTGCCTCACCCAGGTAAAGCAAGTGCTTCTACCACTGAGCCATAAGCCCATCCCAACACTGTTTTTTAAGACATGATTTCCTCACTGGTTTGAAGTGCCGCCTGTATATTTGTCTGTATGTACTGTTGTTTTGTTTTCTTCCTTGTTTTTATCCCACCAGTTGCTGATACATAATTAAGCTATGGGTTGTTGTTAGCCAGTCATTTCACACAGCCTTCTCAACACTGCCAGTAGTAGCCTTTCAGATGGACTCTTAGGTTTTCTCAGTAGAAACTTTTATATACCAAGGTGATCATTTTGGTTTTTTCTTTCTAATAGTGCATCGTTAAATTGCATTGTCTCGAACCTGCAGCACAATCATTAAATGTGGTAGCATTGATACTAATATCCTTGTCTTGTTCCTCATTTAGCAGTGACCATCATATTTCTTCATTTTTCCTAGATGTCTCTACCTTAGTCAGAAGATGCCCCAACCTTGTCCATCTGGACTTAAGGTATGTTTTTGTTTTTTATTTTAAATCAAAAGTTGAAAACTCTAGGGGAGAGGACCCTAATGTTGAATGGAAGGAACTGAGCAGTGGTGTTCTCCATCCAGGGTGGTTTTGAATGTCCTCTCTTCTGCTCTGTTACAGTGACAGTGTCATGCTAAAGCATGACTGCTTTCCAGAATTTCTCCAGCTCAACTACCTCCAACACCTGTCACTCAGTCGGTGCTATGATATAATTCCTGAAACTCTACTGTGAGTATGTTTTGGTTTTGTATTTTTTTATTTATATTTTTAAATTTTTATTTATATTTTTTAATTCTTGTAGAAGACAGGGACCAACAGAGATTCCATTTGGTGTTAAAATCCGTCACTATTAATAGCAAACATTTCAACTTAAATATTAAGATTAGCATATACAAGTTAGCTGGGAAAGACCAGCAAAATAGAAAAGCCAAAGCAGAGTTCTTGCTTAGAATATCTAATAAAGTTGAGTTGACTGAGATTGTTCACTAAACATTTGTTATCACACTGTCAGCATTTTAAAATACGAGAATACTGAGTGGTGTCTTTGAAGGACTTGCAAAAGAAGCTTAAGCAAGCCTTTACCTCCAGAGCACTCGGAGTATAATTGGGAAGGCAGACCCCATGTGAGCGAATGGGTTTCCCTGCCTACCCCACCCCTGCTAAAAAAAAAAAAAAAAAAAGTATCAAATCAGCTCTAGTTAACTCAAAAGCCTTCATCTGGACTTAAATAAAAAGTTCTGTAAGAGTGATTTATGACCTGGATGGTCAAGGAACATGAAGAATCATAGCATGTAGGTGGTGTATATTCATGAGAGTCTCCATGCTGTCTAAGCAGAAGGGCTGTCAGTGAAGTGACTTATCCAGATGTGATGGTGAGTTACTGCCTGAGCTGGGTCTAAATTTGAGGGTTCCTGGAAAGATGCAAAAAGAGTTTGGTGGTTCATCCAAGGTTTAATTTTACCTGCTTAACAATTTCTACAGTCAAGAAGAGTATAAAAAAAAAAATAAAAGCAATTGAATCCATCTTTCTTTTAGGAAGTATTTATACCCAAAGTGTCTTGGGAATAATATCATTGTCTCTTCATTTTTAAAAGTTTTCCTTTATTTTATCCCAGAGGGCTGTAATAGTCTTCCTAATGACTAATGTAAATGTATAGCAATTTCACTGCAAACCACAAGAGGTCAGTATTTTGCCCTTGGTCAGGTGCTCTTTATTACAGTCAGTCAATATATGCTCCATATTAGGCTGTTATGCTCATTTAGCTCAGTATCCAAATGACGATAACTTAGATTTAGCTACCTACCTAAGGAAGGTGGTGAATTTAAACCAAAAAAATTATTTAGTTCTCATATTAATGGTTTGGATCTTATAAATTAGATTTTCGTAGTTAATGTTTAAATCAGATACTTCAGCTATATCAGGTTAACTAATATTGGGAAATCTGGTACTTGTATGATTAATTATTTTAATGAATGAATGTCAGGGCTCAGGGATTTAGCTGGTATCTCATTTGGAAAAGCATTACCTAAAAAAGATGCCACTGTTTACCTGCATGGCTCTCAAATGTTGGGATCTAAACTCATAAACATGGGACTCTAATTAAAATTCCTGCCTCTCTATTTTCTAGCATCCAGAACTCCTAGGAGCCTCTAGAGTCTACCCAAAAAGGTTTCTCTGTCATCTTTTCTCTCCTGCCTTTGCCATCTGGGCTCCCACTTCTTTGCCAGGAGAGAATTCTTTTCTGGTTTCTTTTCTCAAGAGAATCTATCCATATGTCTTGTTTTGGTCCCTTCTCTGCAGAAACAAAGAAGCTAAGAAGGTAATAACCCAGACACTTTTCCTCAACCAGAGGTGAGGGGAGGGCTGTGAGCCCTGATATTTTAATGTTTGTGTCCAATGGGATAATTGTGCTACCTGTATTAGTAATCCTCACAGCCAGTGTGAACTGACGGTTCAGGCCTGGGCCTGGAATCATCACAGCGAAGGTGTGAACCTTCTCTGCATTATTACTTAGTTTTCTAAATCTTACCTTGACATAAGAGTAATGGGCATCAGGAGTTTAGTTCAAGTCAGAGTGCCAGCAAAGAGTGAGAACAAGAAGAAAGATACTGTCCTTGAATGTTAAGGCCAAGAGTGTTTCTTTAGGTATAATGTAAACAGTATGATGGTTTTACATGATAAATCCCTTAAGATTTTGTTTGTTCATACCCTATCCTTTAGTCTCTCAAAACAAAATGCCTTGCCCAGTAATTTCATTCTGTAGCTGATATATTTTAAATTCATAATTAAAACTTCCAGGTGCCTCAACAATAATTTCCAGAGAGCCAGTCATCTGTGCTAAAGAATTCAAAGTTATTGACCCCTTATCTAAGAAGTGGGAAAATAAAATTTGAATGTTTGTTCTGTAATAATAATTGAGAAATACTGACAAACTTCAGGTTTTTCCTCCTCACATCCTCTCATATTTACTTCCTTATTCCTAAATTGGTCTTATCTCCCACATCTAAACTCTCTTCTAAATATTCCCTCTATCACTCAAGTAAGAAATCTAAGATGAGGAGAGTAAATTGATCTCACATGAGGAGAGACTTAAACATTCTTGTTAGGAGAATCAGTAGTTGAAGCATTTTCGGTTTTAAAAAGGAAAACAGGATTATGTAGATGAGGAGTAAACTGTGAGTTTATAAAGATTTTTTGTTTACTAAAATTGAAAAGAGATCCTGAAGACATTGCCATCGTCATTTTACACTTCTTAAATTAGAAATAATGGCTTTTAAGCTCAGTTCAGTATCCCTGCGTTCATTTACATTCTCCATGTAATGTCAGAGATACTTGCAGTTTCTCTGTTGTAGGTAATGCATGTAACAAGAGGCGGTGTTTTTGTCCTCTTTAAAATTTTGAAGACTCTGATCTTTGACCCCTCAGCCCATCCCATGTGGCTCCCTTCTGTGACTCTGAGAGGGCTGTGTGATTTCCATCCTCAACAAATCTCTCTCCAATGCTGTTGTGAGAACATTTCCTCCTCTGCCATCTGTCATCCCTCCTCCTTTTCTCACTCCCACCTACAGTTCCTTTTAAATATTACCCGCTGCAGAATGATTCACAACTCGGCTGCTTTGGTTATCCCAGAACCAGAATTCTCACAGTTATACACTTAGATTTCACATAAGAAGGATGTGGAGTTAGATGGGATTATGATCATCTTCAGTAATAAGTATAAAGATCTATGGATGGGGACTTGATTCCACAGTCCAGAAAGTAGCTTGCTTTAAAAACAACAGCTATTTGTTCTTCTTGATTTTTTTTTTTAATTTGTTATGACCTTCAGATCTCACTGTCCCCCTATGAACAAGCATATTTTATTTGAATAGTGCTTTTGTTTTCCACAGTACCCATCATCTTGTATTAAGCTAACATCTATTAAATATCTGTGGTGCTTAAGACCCTTTCTGAAATGTAGAATAAATTCAGTTTAGAGGGAAAGTGGGAAGGCTGGAAGAGCCAGTTTAGAACAGAAGGTCTTATACCCTGTTGAGTAGTCGCAGGAAACACCCAAGGTTTGGAGGTGGATGAGTGCCATAATCTGAGCAAGGCTTTATAAGGACTCCTTGGGCAAGGGTGTAGAATGTGCTTGAAGGAAGAGGTTGGAGGCCATGTGACAGTTCTTAAAAACGCACATTTGAGTAATTATTGACAATAAAAACCCAAAGGATGCTTCTAACTCAAGGTCATTGATGTGCTGTTCATTGATCTGCAGTGGGCTTCTGTTGAAATTCCAAAATAAATGTTCTGTTTCCTGAGACTTTGTACTTTGTCCCAACCTGGAGCAAATACAGATCAGAGATGAATTTCTAGGCACATAGATCTGTGTTAAGAATCATTACCAAAACCAAAAAGTATTTACATTGTGGAAATAGGCTTCATTTTCTTTTTTGTGAACCAAAATCTCACTGTTGACACAGTTGCTTTTCACCTAATATAAAACACCGAAGAAGGGGACTGACTCACCTACCTGTGATAGGTTAAATGGTAATACATAGAACAGCTTTAAGAGGCTCCTGCCTTCTAGAAAAGTGAGATTTTTTTTTTTTTTCTCTTAATCTGCACCCAACTCCATGATCTTGGGGAAGTCACTGGTAAGTTTCATCACATATAGTGGACCTGTTCACTGTGAACTATTATCAAAAACCCTGCTGAAATCTTTTGAGAGTTGGAGCGTCTTTCAAATGAAGGTCATGTCCACATCCTTAAAATCCACCACCGTCTGTGGTGGTTCCACAGCAAAACATTTATGTTAATCATCACGAGCTTGCTGCCTCACAGCACAGTAACCCCTTTGAGGTCAAGAATGGAGAAAGGAAGCAAACACAGTTGGATTTCAAATAAATCTTGGAGAGGATTCTAAGGTTGTTAGGAGTCTCATTTAGCAAAGGCACAGGTATGATTTCCAGGTTGTTCCACCTTTACATTTCCTCAAATCATTTACTGTGAATTGCTTCCAATTTGCATTTTGTGAAATGTGGTACAAAAGTAAAAACTGGGCCATGTAGTGAGTCAATAGTTTCCCTAGATATTGCTCCTCTAAAAGTATCTTTCTTCCTTTCCAGTGAACTTGGAGAAATTCCCACACTAAAAACACTACAAGTTTTTGGAATTGTGCCAGATGGTACCCTTCAACTGTTACGGGAAGCCCTTCCTCATCTGCAAATTAATTGCTCCTATTTCACCACCATTGCCAGGCCAACTGTCGGAAACAAAAAGAACCAGGAGATATGGGGCATCAGGTGCCGACTGACACTGCAAAAGCCCAGCTGTCTATGAAATTATTTCTTGTAGGATAGTGTCTCCTCTTCCTTTGGAATGGGGAAAGTAGGCAGGAAGCCCAATTACTGAGCACTGGGCTAGTTTTTATTATTCGTTTTCCCTTAACCTTTATCCTGCAAGTAAATTAGGAAACCATTTTCAAGGGAAAACAATGAAGTGTTGCCTTTTTTTTAAATAACTATAAAAGTTTCTGTCAACGCTATGCCCTTAAGAACCTAAGTTGTAGGCCATCAGAAATTTTAGGAGTTTGAGCCTATGATTTCAATTTACTTTTTTACATAGCAAAATTTGTGCCATTTTCTCCAAGTGCCCTTTGTATCAAGTTTTATTTAGAATCAAGCTTAAAAAATGACTTATGGCTAATGATTTTTATAGCCTTTGTGATAACTTTTTTATCTATTTAATTTTTCAGTATTGTTTAATAAGACATAGTTTGGAAGAACAATAAGCTATGTGTAGGGTGAGCTGAACCTAAAGAGTCATAAGATAGTAGCATTTAAGGTATCTGGGAATTAAAAAAAATTTTCATTTCTATCTTAAGATTTGAAATTAGCTTAACAGAAACATATCCCCACATCTTAAACTCTCAAACAAATTAAACATATGGCCAGAGGTATAGAGTTGGTATAGGATGTGAAGGCTCAAGACGTAATTTTCTATGCCAGGTTAAGTATCCTTTAATATCACTAAGGTACTGTGTTCCTGAAATATAATTGTGGTTTCTAATTTTATAATCAAATTACGTTAACATGAGTTGTTTAGCTTTTAAATGAGTTGCTTTGTTTTAGGAAGGTGGTATTAACCTAATCAGTCTCTATTCTTGAAAAATTGAAAGAGTTCTGAATTGATACTGCCTGCTGTTTTCCTTTAGTGCTAAGTTTATTTGTATATTACTCTGGAATCAAGTATTTTAAATTGCCTTTTTAAAATATGGTCTTTTGCAATAATTGTTTGAAACTACCCACTTTATAGGGTTATTGATCGTAAGAATTGCTTGTTCCGGTAAATCAGAAGTACACACTAGAAGCAAGTGTATTTTCCATGCAGTTTCAGGACAGTCTGCACTGGCACCTATGTAAGAGTTAGTACTCAGGTGTTGAACCTTTTAGTAATATGAGTGGGTTTGTTTTTTAAAAAACCTCTCTCATCAAGGCAAAAAGATCAAGTTCTGCTTTTAAAAAATCACAAAAACACTAGTTTTAAGTCAGTGACCTCCCCATATGTGCAAAATGTAACAAAAAAGCCAAAATCCATCATTTTTCTATTAACTGGTTTTACTTTAATCAAAGATTTTAAATGTTAAAAACAGTAGCATGAAGTGCCCTTATCTGCTCAGACCTAAGGAAGAAAATTTTAAAAGTAGTGTTACACAAGGAGATGATTATGTGTCTATTTCTTATTAGCTAAAAAGTGCTAAATACTACTTGAAATTATTGTTTACAGATTAGTGACAAGGGCTGGTGGTAGGATCCGGTTGGAGTTACTTCCGGATGCCCTCAAACATACAGTGCCTGTTTTTCCAAACTCAAGTCCAGCCATAAGCTATTTTGCCAACATGTCGGAGTAATCTGTATTTTTGTATGTGATTTCTACTTTTATAAACTTGTTTTAAAATAAAACACATTTTTATAAAAATGAGTGTTTAAGCCAAGTTGTATCCCTTTTTATCCTTTCTTTTCTAAGTATGTCATTAAAATAAAAAAACATTCAGGGTGGGCTGCCAATTGACCAGAGGCCTCTGAGATTCTATAAAACAGCACAAAACACCATCCTTTTTACTTCATAATGACTGTCATATTTACAAAACATTTGGATTCATGTGACTAAAGTGTTAGCTGATTTTTATTAACAACTTGACTAACACTTTTAAATACAGATGTGATCAGCTTAATCTGTGTATCTTAATGTCATTAGGAAACTTTCATATTTTATGCCCAGAAAGTTTCCCAAAGTTCAGTTCCTTTTGAAGCTATTTTCAAATGGTAGAATAGTGATTTTTTAATAATACCTAGTTTTGTTTATTCGTATACATTTTCACTACCATGCTTCTTAATGAAAAATGTCAAATACATGTGGGTAAGTAGAGAATATGACAAACCCATCACCAGTCACTATCCATGATTGCCATCCCTTTTACTCCCTAGACAGATAATTTTTAAACAAAACCCAGACCTGTAATTTCATAACTATTTCAGTATATACCTTTAAAAGATAGGGATTCTCCTGAATTAATTCTGATGCATTGAATATCAGGATGATGTTGAAGATCTGAGGTGTCTCAAGTGTTTTCATTCTTGGGTTTGTTCTGATCAGGCTCCTACATGGTCCACACATTGCATTTCATTGACAGTCTCAAAGTTTTAATCTTCAAGTTCCCTCTTGCAATTCCCTTACAATTTGCTTATTGGTCATTTATTTATTAGGCAATAAATTGGCTTGTTTTGTTTAATAAGTTATTTTTGTTTAGTGAACCTAAATACTAAAAATGCTGATATTTTTATATTTTTCTAAATGAATAACAAATCTAAGTTCCAATTTTGAACATTAAAAATCAATAAGACATTCAAATTTTAAATGATTTTTATCTCTGGCTCCTTGTTTAGTAATTTCCTTTTTTATCTTTTATTTATATATGACAGCAGAATGCATTACAATTCTTATTACACATATAGAGCACAATTTTTCGTATTTCTGGTTGTATATACAGTATATTCATACCAATTCGTGTCTTCATACATGTACTTTGGATAGTAATGATCATCACATTCCACCATCATTAATTACCCCTTGCCCTCTCCCTTCTGCTTCAATCTTCTGCCCTATGTAGAGTTCATCTGTTTTTCCCATCCTCCCACTCCCTATCCCACTATGAATCAGCCTCCTTATATCAAAGAAAATATTTGACATTTGGTTTTTTGGGATTGGCTAACTTTACTTAGCATTATCTTCTCTAACTCCATCCATTTACCTGCAAATGCCATGATTTTATTCTCTTAATGATGAGTAACATTCCATTGTGTATATATGCCACATTTTTTTACCCATTCATCTACTGAAGGGCACCTAGGTTGGTTTCACAGTAGGCTATTGATGTGGCTGTGTCCCTATAGTATGTTGTTTTTAAATCCTTTGGGTATAGACCAAGGAGAGGGATAGCTGGGTCAAATGGTGTTTCCATTCCTAGTTTTCCAAGAAATCTCCATACTGCTTTCCATATTGGCTGCACCAATTTGCAGTCTCACCAGCAGTGTATGAGTATCTTTTTCCCCACATCTTCGCCAACACTGTTTGTCTTCATAATAGCTGCCATTCTGACTGGAGTGAGATGAAATCTTAGAGTGGTTTTGATTTGCATTTCTCTAATTGCTAGTGATGATGAACAGTTTTTCATGTATTTGTTGATCTTCTGAGAAGTGTTTCTTCAGGTCCTTGGCCCATTTTTATCTGACTCCTCCTTGTTTAGCGATTTTCTTAAAAATGTCTTAAAACCTATGAGTTAACACTTCATACCTTCCTTATCGTACAAAATAAGTCGGCTCCCAGCCCCTCATGAGTATGTTTAAAATAAAAAAACTGCATTTGAAAAAATAACTGAACTCTTTAGTTCAGCAGTATAGTTACTTACTTGATCCCCCCACCACTATGTAGTTTTTTTCCATATTAATTATTACATAATCCCTGGGATCTTTTATTACACAATAGCTAATTATCCTTAAGTATAAGGATATTGGTGCAATGGAATGAATTTTTATTAAATAGTTCTAAATATACATTGCTATTTTCACAGGTGAGCAACAGGTCAACAAGGAGCAATAATTTATTCTTAAATTTATATTTGACAAAATTTTTAAATTCAAGTGAATATTTTACACTAAAGTATTTAGAATGGTTTTTCTGATTGAAAAGAGAAGACTATATATTTGGTAAAACCTGATTTGAGGTTCTAGGACCATGAATATAGATGCACGTAGAACATCAAAAATATTGTGTTAAAATTATCTTCAAACTACATTTTCCAGGTAAGCACTTCACCCCTCTGATTAACATTATCACTCTGTGTCAAAGATTAGCAGTGAACAAAGTCTATAGGACACAGAATAATACATATTATTATTATAATAATATGTATTATATTATTATACATATATAATATGGGGGACAGACTTTTCAAACAGTGTTTTTTGTTTGTTTGTAGCTGTATATGGACAGAATGCCTTTATTTCTTCATGTTTATGGATCAAACCCAGTGCCTCAACACGTGCTAGGCAAATGCTCTGCCTCTGAGCTACAGCCCCAGACCTCAAAGAGTATTTTAAGAAACTTGGTTTTCAAATAATAATCTATGAGTTAAGGAAATAATCAAATAAAAAGGAACTAACAAAGATTTAATTTTATTCACATGTAGTTGACATTAAACGGTTAACTCATTCATAAAAAACATCTGTTATTCTAACATCTTTTGCCACTCATCTCTTAGAAATGAATTCCCACCATGGAGCAGAAGTTATATTGCAAATGGAGCAGAGTTAGTATTCTTAAAACCTTTAAAAATATGGCATATGAACAATTTCACACATTGCCTATTAATGTTACATATTAACATCTATGGTAATGTGAATAATCAGATTTCCTTCCAATATTAAAGGCAGAGTTGACATTTTTTTCAAGAAAGTATTTAAAACCTGTTAGAGTGGTTAATCCATAGTATGGAATTTAACTTCTTTCTTATATATATCATTTTTTGAAAAAAAAATCAGATCCAGCTCTGGGAAAACTGATCTTTATTTTATTTCCATCTGATGTATCAATAAATTTGCTCTGAGAGTCTACACAGGTACTCTTTATGCAGGTACTCTTAATTAAGAGAAAAACAGATTCTTCTCCATTATACATCAAAACCTAGACCACTGTTGTAAATTAACATTTTTAAAAGTATGGATAAAAGTAACATGTTAATCATTGGCAAAACTAAGGGCACTCATCTGACTACATATCTTAGCTTTCACAGAATTTTTACTTCTGAGGTCACTAGTCTCAAACACTATAGAGTCTCTCTCATTCATCAATGTAGATCAAGCACCTGACACAGAATAGATGACACAGTGAGGTTCATAAATATTTATCAATGACAACTGTTTTCACCATCAAGTGAAAAAAATATACAACTGAATAAATGGCATGATAATACCACTTTATCTTGTAGCAGTAAGAGCATTCTGTGAAAATTCTAGGGTTAAAGAATAAAATAATTTCCTCCAAAAATAAAGGAGTTCTCATAATGGGGGGAAAAGCCACGGCATTTTATCCTACAAAGCTATTATGCAAAATTTGAAATTAAGTGAAAACCTCAATACTGAGCTACAGCCCTTGCTTTTGAAAAGCAAAGACATATTTGTTTATTAATCCATCCTCTGACAATATTAACACTAGATGAAAATATTTGTTAAAGATAATACCAATAGAAAATGTCTCCTAATAGAAGATGTCCCATCAGTTCTTACTTTTAGTTCCTGAATCCATATTAGAGAGTTTTACAGATGGAAAACACCTATTGGACTCAAATCATTTTTTAAAAATTGATCCAAAATAGGTACTGGATAATTAAAACATTTTTAACAGCATCATGACTTTGTCCCATTGGTGTATTCCAACCAGTATTGTTGAAATTAATTAGAAGGAACATCAAATGGAAGTATCTGCAATTTCAAAAGTGATTTAAATTTTTAAATCAAAAGTCACCACTTCATTGTGTCCTAGAATTAGAAAATTCTTAGCACATATTAAAAAACACATTAACCTACTTCAATTAGGTGAATGTCAGGACTTAACAAAATTCCCCATCATCAAAAATTTTTTAAAAATTTTGACAGGTACTATAAAAAAATATTCCACAAAGGGAGAGGGAAGCAAAAAAAAAAAA